GTCTGCAACCTTGTATATGTAGTTCATCAGCTTCTCAAGATTCCACCTTCTTCTATATAGTACTATCGGAAAAGAGAGAGACCGAGAGAGAGAGAGAGAGAGGAGCAGTGGAGGAGCAAGGAGCCGTAGAGGAGGGATGAGTCGTGAAGGAGCGAGGTATAAAGGAGGGAGGAGGCATAGATGCATAGAGGAGAGAGGAGAAGGCCCAGAGGAGGGAGGAGGAGGGCGGCATAGAAGAGGGGCTGCCTTGGGGTGTTGGTCGTGTTGTGACGAAGTGACACGAGTCACAGCACACTCGGCAGACTTGTCCCCACACACCTTGTGCCTGGTCTGGGTCCGGTGTAGTCTTGTGTACGGGTCCAGAGCTCTGTAGCGAAGATGAAACCAGACAGACTTGGCCAAGGATACGCAACAAGTTCTACTGTGGATTTCACAGGTCCATTTGTGAGTCATGCTCCTCTCCTCTTCCCTATCCTCCAATCACCTATTTTGCAGCATGTGTTAATTGCGAATGTCGGGTTTGTTCTGTGGAACGAATCTGTCTTGGTCAGAATTTCACACGTTCTCATTTAAGTCAGAAACTTTGACCTAATGTGTATCGTTCTGAGGTTTGTGTAAGATTACCGGACAAGGCCTGCCTTTTGGTAGTGTGTTCAGACATGAACCTCGTCAAGGAGGAAGAGCTCCTATGCCTAGCAAACATTCAATCACCTAAATTTTGGATATGATTAATTCATTGGTTTTTTATCGGTAGATTGACTTCTGGTTTGGCTGATTGCTTGATTTTGAAACGGTTTTCACCTTTAGCAGTAGCAGATGCAGTACCCAGGGCTCGATCCCTAGACTTCACCCTACCCGTGTACAGTATCTGTGTAGACCCCGGGAGTTGAACCTGCGACCTGTGTATGTGTAGACAGTTTGTAGGTCTGTCGTAGGTCCGTAGGTAGCGGGGGTTCGATCTGTAGACCTATAGTGTAGAAGTCTTAGTGAGTTCCAGAAGCTTAGCTGTAGTCCTTCTAGAAGGTAGGCAAGTGGGCAAGTGGTCAAGTGGCGAGGCAAGTGGTGGACTAAACTGCAGTGCAATAGCAGTACGACGTCGGTAGGATAGCGGTGAGTCCACAGTCAGTCAGCGGTAAGGTCCAGTCAGTCCCAGTCCGGTCCAGCAAGTACCACGGGGGACTGTGAGCACCATGGGACGATGGCCAAGGGCAGACCAACGAGTTTCTGAAGTATAAATTAAGAGGCAGTGCCCGGCCATTCACGCATTCCTGCGTGAGCCATGCGGAAGCGCTGCCACAGCGACTTGTGCAAAGAGGTCTGCAGTGAGCCCGGAGGACGCAGTGGGCGAGAGAGGAGGAGTTAGTATAGCGATAGGTTAGAGGCAGCCATAGCTGCCATAGCTGTAGTTAGTAGGAAGTGTGTGTGTGTGTTTGAGTGTTCAGAGTGACGTGTATGGGATATCCAGGGTGATCCGTTGTGTGTAAACAGTGAGTTGTTTGGGCGCTGAAGTCGCCATAGCCAGTTGAGAGTGAACTCGTATCTGGAAGCCATATCTCTAAGTTTTGTGTGGGCGCATGTCGCCAGTTTGCTGCGTTGCTGTTTACATGCATGAAAAGTGTGTTTGAGAACGAGTCTGATTGCAATTTGATTGATTAGTGGGTTGATTGACTTGTTGTGGTTGTAGGTTGGTGAGTGATTATTTGCGAGTAAATGTGGTTTTATGGATTGTTTGATGGGCTGATTAGTCCATAATTGATTGGTTTGTTGGTTCATTGATTGCTTAGGTGTTTGATCGATGGATTGAGAGGCCTTTGTTTGATTGGTTTGTTTGCAGTCCGGAGCACCCTATTGGCATGCAGAAACGATATCAGCGCCGGCATGCCTCGGATGAGGCCGCTAGCTTTCCATCGAGGTGAGCTCTGTGTTTTGCTGGACTCCACACCTCTGTCAACTGACCCCACAGCATCCATCCTCCCCATCAGGCTCTGAAGATTTCATCTTCAAACAGCTTGTGAACAATGTATGTACTGTATAGTCTACAAATCAACGTTTAACCTGAACTGCCTGGAATTAGTTACTAACCCATATTTGTTGACAAATTTTGAGATGCATGGGAGCCATTTGCTTTTAGATCACAACAATGCCTATTGTTGCTTGAATTCTTTCTTGCAGTTCTTACTAGTCACATGAGAAAGACATTTTATGGGAATAATATCTGCCAAGTGGATATGCTGGGCATCTGTTTGGCTTTTGCTCTTGACCTGGGGGACCTCGCATGGGAAAATCCCACATCATTGCTGCCTCTTGTCCTGCGTGTTTTTATCTGTTGTATCTGTTTTTTACTGTGTAATAGGAATTCAAGACCCAAATTCATGCAGTGCAATAGACGATGGAGTATGAGATGCAGGAGTGTTGTCTGCACCAGTATGGTTATCCCGTTCTTTGGCACTGGTGTATAGTCTGTGGGGTGACACTGCGTGCTGACCACAACTGGAGCTTCAGTGGTGGTCTTCTTTAATCCCTTGTTTATTTGATGTCTGGAATGTTGTGCTGTGTGCTGCTTTTGTGGAGTGCCAAGCCCCTGATCATGCTGGTGAGGGGTTCTGAAGGCAATGTGCCTCACTGAGTGTTTGCTGAACTCTGCAATATTTTTTGCCATGTGCCGACTGCAAAGTGATGTCCTATGTTTACATGAAAGAAGAAAGGGCTGTGAATCAGCGTGGATTCATTTCAATTTATGACTGTGAAAGCTCTGAAGAAAGAGAAAAGAACATGTGGGAAGAAGAGTGTGAAGAAGGGAAATGTGGGCTGCACTGAAGATCGTTGAGGTCTTGTGTATCGGATAAAATGTTAACTGTCTTTGATGGTTCGCCATTCAAATGGTTCAATGCGGAATTTTGCGGTGCGTTATTGGTGAAGTAGCATGTTCAGCAGTGAATCAGCACAGCTGTTGGTGCCTTTTCATGAATGTTGAGACCGATTTTCGGTCAAGCAAATTGAAGTGTAGGGTGCTGTATGAGATCACCAGTGCTGACAATTCTATTACCCTCTCTTCTTCCTGACCCTGAACTTGCGGAACTTCAGGCGTTGGGGCAAGAGACGGATTTGTACTCCACTAGTCTCTTGGGATCCCGGTCATGACCTGACGGTGGAGGTCAGTGGTCGCAGTTATATTTCGGAGTTGCCTTCAGCCTGCTCTGTGCCATTACTGGACTGCCCTGTGGCCCCTGTCATGGCGAAATGATCCCTGGAAGGTGTATGAGGCAGTGGTATCGGTCTTCCTTGGTGCCAAAACTGTGGTTTCTGTCCTGGGCAGGATGTAGAAAACAAGGTGTCACTCTTTCTGACAATCATAGCTACAGCTTGACCAAACACTGGAGTAGACGGGCGCAGGGTGGTTGAGTTAGCGGCATAGTTGCGGTGCACTTCAGTGCGCGGATTTGCGCACAAATTGCGCACTGCGCGCAGCGCACCAAAACGCAGCGCACTGGAAAAATTAGGTCCACCAAAAAAAAAAAAAAAAAAGAGTAGGGGTTTCGTAATTTCTTAGGGTCCCCAACTCGGCAAAAATGTTAAACTCACCACGCGAGCTCGGAAACCGGCCGGGCCCCCAACTCAAAATTTTCTTTTGGGTAAGGGCTGCCAAATGTCGATTTCCGCAGGCCCTTCCCCCAAAAGTTTCAGAATGGCGAGGCATAAAATACTTGAAAAACAGGGGGGCTCATTCCATCTTTTTTTTTAGGCGGGGTATGAAAGTTGTTATTTCCGCTCCCTTCTGCAAATCCCACACAGTGGTGGTGTCGCATACCATAAAGGTGCAGACCAGAACAAGAACCGACCGCTCTCACATAGTAGAGGATAGCACAGCGGAAGGCTTAAATACCAATGATCCGAACAATCAATGTTGCAATGCAGACCAGACATACATCATCATCATTCCATGGTGTGAAGGGGCCTGGCGCTCACACAGGAAGAATGCGCCAGTCCCCAACCATACACAGACGAAGAGGAGAGGGGTTAGATGAAGAAGAGGGGAAGATGGGAATGTCGTCAACACCAAGTCTTCGGTAGAGGTCCCAAATAATCCCTCGTCAAATGTCTGAATCCCAATGTCGAGTCTGGATCCAAATGTCGTCAAGTCCCTAAGTCACCGATCTCTCTCTCTCTCTCTCTCGTAGTCTGCAGCTACTGAGAAGTTAGGTAGCGAGAGGGTGAGGGAGAGATGGTGGACTTAGAAGAGGAAGAAGAACAACTCTCTCTCTCTCTCTCTCTCTCTCTCTCTCACACACACACACACACANTCTCTCTCTCTCTCTCTCTCTCTCACACACACACACACACACACACACACACACACACACACACACACACACACACACACACACACAGAGTCCGGTACTAACCTGTGAAGGTGGTGCTTTGTTGCAGGTACACCGAAGACGGAGCTGGAGCTATGGCACCACAGGTAAGTCTCCCTGGCCTCCGCCAACCATCTCTCTGTTATGATTCTGGTTGTTTGTTGTCTGAGACCAACACTCGCACACATAGACTTCCAGGTATGCCCATACATACACAAAAGGAAGGGGAGAGGATAGGAGTATCACACCGCACAGGGAGAGATAAACACAGCGGAAGACTTGACCATGCGATATGACAGGGTACACTGAAAGTCCGATTCACTCCACTCAATCCTCACAACCAGTCATAAAGAAAAGCCGAGTAGATCACATCCAGGAAACAATGAAACGATGATAGTCCAAACCCAATATTACACTGTTTATTAACCTTAGTACTACAGTGCGCTGCTCAGAAATGAGCAGCGCTTCACTCCCCAACCCCGAGTAACCACCCGTGACATCCCTGAGACAAACATCAAGCGCCACCCAGATACAGCCTCCAAAGGGAAGCGCCACCCTGAAACAGGCCTCTGAGGCCAAACGCCACTCAGAGGATGAAGAAGAAGACCAACGCCATAGTATCAGATGATGACGAAATGTTAGAAGACTTCTCGGATGGAAGTCTGCAGCAGCGCCACCAACTCCTGAGATGGCCTCTGAGGAAGAAGCGGCAGCTATGGCTGCAGTGCCACAACCCTGGAACCCCACCCCGGAGGAGGGTCCATCAGGGCACCAACTTCTCTCGCCTCCAGCAGACCTCGATAACCCAAACCTCTGACAGCCCCTACGTGCTGGCAGAGTGCAGCGCAGGTCCCAGCTATGGTCGGCGCTCCGAAGGTCTGGCTATGCCTGTCTCCTTCCACGTTGAGCCGTCACCACTTCCGGTTCACGCGTAGCACAACAGCGATGTACTCTGGACCAACTGCCAAAAGCCCTGAACCGATGTGTCCATCCTATCTATAGACTAAAACTAGCCTAGACTCGACCTAGACCGGACTTACTGACTGACCGGTACCGATTCAGTTTCGGCCTCTCGGCCTCTACCTTACCCGGCTATAGGCTATAGGACCTTCTATCAGCATAGGCCTATAGGGCTTGTCTGTCTTAGGGGTAGCCCAGCCTACTATTCGCAGTTAGGTTATCTGTAGGAAATTCAGTTAGTATGGGCCTGTATTTTCCCGTATTTACAGATATGTCCCTCACAAATTTTCCTTACATGCAGGTCACTCAGTTAGCCCTCAGCCCAACAAAATTATGAATCTGTCCTACCTATAATACAGCCTTGATAGAGAGAGGCTACAGACGACCAGAAAACAGCAAGTCATTGCAGACCTACTCTCCCCCGGAGCGAGGACCTCCGAGCTAGGGGCGTAGGCGTGCAAAGCGCTGAAGGGATTCCCCTTTTGTGCTGCCTCATATATGAGAATGACAGACTTTGCAGTCTTCAGAAATTCCTTGCGAGTAAACCAGCGGTCTTCTGTATGTGGCTGGTATAGGAACTTCACAAGGTACTCCTTATCTGGTACTGTACCTGACTTATCCTCAACGGACTCCACCTCATATCCTTTGCTAGGGATAGGGGGACCGAACTGAGGAGGCCTTTCTGGGAATGCATCATCTGAGGTAAATGGTAACAACTTAGATGCATGAAAGACAGGGTAGGTTTGTAGATGCAGAGGGACATCCACGGTATAGGATGGTCCAAATGGATCAGCTCCCATTGTATCTAAGACCTGCCATGGACCCATGTATCGTGGCAGCAGCTTAAGCGAAATATCCTCCTCTCGCGACAACTCAGAATTGAGTACCCACCCTCAGTCACCTGTGCGAATAGTAGAAGGACGTCTGTGCTTGTTAGCCTGCTGAATCATAGCCTTTTGAGCTTTCAACAGGTTGGCACAGGCGCACTTTTATGTCCACACGGTAACGCATGGTGAACTTTGCAGTTCCAGGTGTGAGCGTAGGGGTAGCCTTATTGATGATGTCAGCGAGAGGCTGTCGTGGCTCCCGACCCCAGTGTAACTGGTAGAGTGTACAACAAGTAGAGGAGTGTACAGACGTGTTATATACAAGTTGTGCACGACCCAAATGGAGATCCCAGTCCTGCTGATCTGGACTGATCACAGGACGCAACAACTGAAACAAAATCTGGTTCATCACTTCAGCCTGTCCATTGGCTTCAGGATGACGACCAGATGTCATATCCAGTCTGGAATGAAGGTAATCCCTGCAGTAGGATTGCCATTCGTTGCTGCAAAAACGAGGATCTTGGTCACTGACTATAGAGGTGGGTGGTCCATGATGTGTGACCCACCTGTCAGCAAATGCCGCCTGAACGGCTGGAACGCGAGCTTTAGCTGGCAAGGGGATGAACTCTGCATATTTGGAGAACCGATCCACGCACACCATAACATGACGCATACCACGAGGTGTGGTCCTACCTAAGTCAATAAAGTCAATAGACACTAACTGTGCAGGTGCCTCAGGGATGGGTAGTGGTTTGAGTAGGCCAAGGGGAGGTCATCATACTACCTTGTTCCTTTGGCATAACTCACAGGTTTCCACATAGTGCAGCATGTCACTCCTCATCTCCTTCCAGAAGAAGCGCTGCGACAGGGATGCATACGATTTGAGGGCTCCAAAGTGACCACGAGCATCATGACACTCAGACATCAGGAGTGTTCTCAGCTTGCGGTCCTGGGGAATGCACAGGCGTTCCTCACCTCTGCTGCAAGCATACAGCAGGTCTGAAACCAGAGTATATCGTGGTTCAGATGCAGGATCATCTTGGAGATTCCTCACTATAGGCCCAAAAACCGCATCCTGGGGCAGCAACCGGGCAATGGTCTGACGAGTCCTCTCTCCAAATGAGTGAGTAAAGGAGATCAGAAAAAGAGCATCGGGCTTATGAGAAAGGGCATCTGCTACTCGATTGTAGCAACCCTTCTTGTGTCTCAGTTCAAAGCCAAACATGACAACGAACAGGATGTAGCGAGCAAGCTTGTCATTCAGTTCTCCTTGGGACTTAATCCACTGCAGGGTGGAGTGATCTGAGAAGATCTTGAAGTGCCTGCCCAGGAGGAAGTGCTTCCAATGCTTGCGCGCTGACACAAGAGCATAAAGCTCTTTCTCATAGGTACAGTCCTGCAACTTCTTTGTTTTGATCTTCTTGATCATATACTGGATAGGATGCAAACCATTCCATCATCCTGTTGAAGTACCGCCCCTACACCATATTGGCAAGCGTCAGTGGTAAGCACAAAAGGCAGGGTAAGGTCAGGTAACTTCAAGACAGGGGCACGACTCAATGCCTCCTTGAGATGTGTGAAAGCCTCCTGACATTTTGATGTCCAAAGAAAGGAAGTGCCTTTCTTTGTGAGATCAGTCAAGGGAGCCGTGATAGAAGAGAAGTTCTGCATGAACTTCCTATTATAAGATGCAAGTCCCAAGAATGACCGGACATCACGAATGTTAGCAGGTCGTGGCCAGTCCTGAGCTGCAGCAACTTTCGTTGCTTCAGGAGCCAAACCCTCTCCAGAAATGACGTGACCTAGGTAGATTACAGAGGGAACCTCAAAAGAGGACTTCAGTCTGTTGATCTTGTACTGGTTATCACGTAAGGCCTGGAGGACCAGAGCCAGATGTTGCGCATGCTCCTGGACAGAACGACTGAATACCAAGATATCATTTAGGTAGACAACTATGAACTTGTCCAGGTAAGGCCTGAGTATGCGATGCATCTCTGTTTGGAAGGTGCTTGGGGCGTTGCAAAAACCGAATGACATGACCAGGTACTCATAGGTGCCATGCCTGGTCTTGAAGGTTGTCCTGTGGACATCGCCTTCAACCATCTTAATTTGGTGATAATCAGATTTGAGGTCGATCTTACTAAAGATGCACTATGTCCAACAGATCATCAATGCGAGGAAGGGGCTCTGTAGACTTCCTCGTGATTTTATTGAGACCACATAGTCCACGCACATCCTGAACTCACCATTCCCCTTTGGAACAAAGAGGACTAGTGCCCGAAACTCAGATGTGTTGGACCCGATCCAGCCCTTGCTGGTCAAGGTCTCTAACTGTTTCCTGAGCTCTTCAAGTTCAGCGGGTGACATCCTGTAGACTCGGCCCTTGGGAGGGACCGAACCAGGCAGGATCTCGATCTTATGTTTGGTCTGCCTATGGACAAGTCCAGTAGGCTCCTCCATAAGATCTGAGAAGCGGTCAACAACCTGCTGAATTTGAGAGGGACAGGGAGCAGTTTCTACATCAGTCTGTGTGACGTAAGCCACAAACAGACAGGTGTGGTCAGTCTGGCAAGAGAAATGCATAAATCTGCGAGCACTCATGCAGTAACAGCTGTTGGCCGGATGGTACTCGTCGGCGAGCATACAAGGACGATAAACCTCATGTCAGTCAGGTAGCTCAACCCTAGGGATCCGCCAGTCGATCCTAGGATTGGTGGCACCAAGCCACTTCATAGAGAAGACAAGGTCAAAGGGAACGCTAGTGAACACGTTGAAATTAAGGCGGTTCCTGATTTCTCCCTGCTTGTCAAAGGACACAGGTAGGCCCTTGACATCAGTAGTGATCCTGACTGTGGAAGAGTCCCCAATGCGAACCTCTATAGGCTGTCGTAATTTCACCAGTCTCTAGTCCAAGTGCAACTTGCTGACTGCCTTGGGAGATATGAAATTGTGAGTAGGCCCACAGTCTAAGAGCCCTTTGATCTTGGCTCCCAGGATAGAGGGTCGAAGCAGGATGAGTTATGACCTGTGTTTTTTCTTCTCTTGCAAGGACAAGAAAAGATCACCAAGGCATTGAGCATCATCCTCCTCCAACGTCTCATCCAGCTCAGAGTCCTCAAAAGTTAAGGGCCCTGAAGATGCAACTCCAGAAGAAGAACCGGCGAGAGAATATGAAGATTCACCTTCGTCAGAAAGTGAATCAGCACTGGTGGTAGGCAGACACCCTTGTCCTTTCTCTTCCTCCAGACCCCCTCTTGGATCCTGAGTGCATGCCAGGGGAAGGTGGAAGGATCAAGGGGGTCAGCTGGCCAACGGACATCTCGTGGTAGAGGTACTCTCTGGGCACTAGGGGAAGAGGCACGCCCCTTACCTTTCCCCTTGCTGCTAATTGGTGCTTTCTGGGCTGGGGCTTTACCCCTTGCCATGCCCATCAAAGCATCAGCCAGGGCAAGAACAGCAGGATCTGCAGCAGATGAGGAAGCAGTCTCAGATGGAGGGGTCCCACCTTCGGATGCTGCATCATAAACTGAACTCGAAGCTGCAACAGCAAATAGGGCACCCTTCCTCCTCCTTCGCCCCTTTGAGGAGGGTCCCTTCCTCCTCCTTCGCCCCTTTGAGGAGGGTCCCTTCCTTCAGAAGGTGCTTCCTGGACATAGAGTTTGGACTCCAAGTCCAGGGCTGCCTTGCCAAAGGACCGCCAGTCCTTGTGGCCCTGAGAGAATAAGGCAAGCTGGAATTGCTCAGGCGTTGCGCTGAGGAAATGAATGAGCAGATCCTGCTCCCTCATCTCCAACCCAGGAGTGACTCTCAAAGGTGGAGTACAGTTTGGACAAGGAGCCATCAAACTTCTTTGGCCCAGGCGCAGAAATTCGTCTGCTGCTTTTCTGGCCTGCTCCTTGTCTGCAAACCGGTCCTGCAGTGCCTGCAAAAATCCAGCCACCCCGAACCTCTGCGCCCAATCAGACATCTCCATACCTTGCTTGCTAGAGGTAGAGGTGCACCATTTCAATGCAGTCCCCTCGAGATGAGCAAGGATGGCTGACACTTTCACATCCTCGTCACATTTGAACCCACTCAGGTAGGTTCTTTGTGTCCTCGCCAGAGAACATGGGTGGAGGGGTCACCTTGGGCCGCTGCTGATCGAATGAAACTGAGGGTTGTGAAGCAGCTGTTGACTTGGGTGTAGAAGATGGGGATGTGGGTCTGGATTGTGGGAGTTGCTGAGGGCCTGCTTGAGAAGGCCCAGGGGATGGAGGCAAGGTCAGGGTGGTAGGGATCTTCAAATGAGTAAGGATCTGGTCCAGTTTGGCAGAGATGTCATCCAGGTTTTTGGAAAAAGTTGAATGACTGCTCTCCAAACTGGTAATTCGGTCATCCCAGTTAGTAAAATAAGAACGGTGAATATCATCCTGCAAGAGGATGAACTCAGCCATGTCCTTATTGTACTGGCTGGAAGTACCACTTGTCCTGATCTTCTCCACGTCTGCAATCAACAGCTTTCTCCTGGCCTCCTTCTGAGCTGCTGCTTCTTTCCTCTTCAGCTCAGCCTTTAGGGACTCAACTACCTGGGCCTGCTAGCGGAGTTTCCCCTCCCGGGCCCGCAGTTCAACCTCTAAAGGGTCAAGCGGAATCTGAGGCTTTGCCTCAGAAGCCTCTCTCTTCCCAACATCTGCCATTTTGATTTCCCACAATTCAGCTAAATAAAAACTAACAAATAATTAGAGACAAACAGGAAGTAGCCGTAATTGAGTTTTCTCTGCAGTACTCGCTGAGTTGCTGCCACCTGCCTTGAGAGAGAAGGTTGGTTAATCTGAGCAAGCGAGTGCTCAGTCTTAGCAGACTGCTTGAGGGTCAGGGTCAGCTATGTTGCCGCACGTTCAATGAACGCGCGTTTCGCGTTCATGTTTTGAACGCGTTGAACGCGCGTTCATTGAACGCGCCTAAACGCACTGAACGCATTTGCGCAGGGCATGGGGGTGTGGGCAGGGGGCCCCGTGTGTGTGTGTGTTCATATAATCCCATGACGAACCCGTCATGAACTTCACCAATGCGGTGATACGCCAGGTACGGTCATGTCCCAATCATACCGTCACAGCCAACGAACCAAGTATCCCCCAACGATACAGAAATGACGAGATGGTTGCATCCATGGGTGTTGTTATCAGAAAAATATAATACACACATACATAACCATATCTCGACAACCGAATATTAAAGCAGGCGAGGAAAATATCGATACGAATGGAACTGGACGGGTTCATGACCAGATGATACTAGAAACTGACGAACCCCACCCCTTGGGTCCTATCGAAAATGGAATAATCATTCGGGGATTGCCTATCCCGTGATTCATCTCTGATTCTTTTCTCGGCCTTTCTCGACATTTCCCTCCCGCCTTCTCCCCTCTCTATAGTCATGCCGAAATACATATATACAGAAGGAACTGCCTATTGGTATATCATGTACTCTGTTTGTACACGTTTGACTGCATTCTGTTTTCTACGGAACGAAGCTTGCGTGGCAAGGCGACTGTTCAGCTATGGCTGACTGGGACTTCACGATCGGAGCGGAGGTGGACCTTCCGATCACGCCGGAACCTGAGGAGGAGATCGCGGCGGAAGGAACGATATATGGTCCAGCATCTCCCTGCTCTGTGGTTGCTTCGGAATTGGTCGACTGTGTTTGTTTGTGAACTGGATGTGCTTTTTGCAGGAAAAGAACCCCTCTGATGAGCCGGTCGAGTGGCAACGGCGAAAAAGCTTTTAGGGGAGCCACAACCCTCCTGCAGCGTCGATCATCCCATGAAGTACAAACCGGGCCCCCACTTGCTTACACCCAGGTGTTCTTCCATATCGGACATTGCTGCTTGCTAGCTTCGTCTTAAGCTTCGTTTTAAGCTTCGTTTTAAGCTTCGTCTTAAGCTTCGTTTTAAGCTTCGTTTTAAGCTTCATTTTAACTCCATTTGTTTCTGCTGATATGGATATACTCCTATTGATTCGCAAACGACTATTTGTTTGAGGAACTTTTGTTCGGTGTTCTGCTTTTTGTCCATTCTCATACTTTCCCCCCCTCTCTGTTTTGTGTCTTTATTGCATCATCTTTTTTGAGACACGTAAGGCAGCAGGTTGCTACCATCACCTACCTCTGAGATAGCTGATGATCCCCACTTGCTACCCTACCATTCGTATCGATATTTTCCTCGCCTGCTTTAATATTCGGTTATCGAGATATGGGTATGTATGTGTGTATTATATTTTTCTGATAACAACACCCATGGATGCAACCATCTCGTCATTTCTGTATCGTTGGGGGATACTTGGTTCGGTGGCTGTGACAGTATGATTGGGACATGACCGTACCTGGCGTATCACCGCATTGGTGAAGTGCATGACGGGTTCGTCATGGGATTATATGAACACACACATGGAGGGCCTTCCCTCTAGTTAACTGTCGAAGGGTTGACTCCCTTGGCTGCGCCTTGGAGACGGATCAGACCAATGGTTTATTACTGTAGTAAGTCCACCTGGTTGCCTTGATACCCGCCTGTACATACAAGTGGAATGACGTGCTCACCTGGGTGATTCTGCTCTTGTTGGCTTGTGTCTATGGGATATGCATTAATATACTGTTTTGTGGTAACTTGTTTCTTCTTGCTGGTCCTTTCCGTCCTCTTTCTCTCCCTCCTCCCACCCTCTCCCCCTTTCCCACTCTCTCCTGTTTTTCCCTCCTCTCCTTCTATCCGATTTTTTCCCCCCCTCTCTTCTCTCATCACCCCTACCCCTTTGAACGAATCATGGGCTTCTCCCAGAGTTCCCAACATGATAGGAACCCAACAGGTGGTTGGTGGGCGGAAACCGTCGACAGGAACCCCTTCCTTGTGGACTTGGAACCATACTCGAAACCTACCCAGTCCATCATCAACGTCATCCACCCCGTGGTTACAGCCATGGTCGGACGAAAGGTTACAGACGGATCGTTCCCTCTCATAACTGAGACCCTTCTCTTCAACGATTGGGCGGATCTGGCCTGGACCTATGAACATGAGAGGCACCACTTGGATCTCATCCTAAATGGGATATTGCTAAGGCGGAGTAAAAGAAGAGGAATGCGATGAGGGAACGCGACGGGCTGATGGAGAGAACCGCGAAGCTTGAGGAAAACCTCAAAAAGATCTGGGACGTGGAGAGGGAATCGGTGGCGGATGACGTACATATGGATGGGGATGGGTATGACCCGGCGCTCATGGGGATTATGGGGGAAGAGGAAGAAGAACTGAGGCAACTACTGGATAACCTGCCTCCACCTCCACCAGGGGGAGAAGGGATGGAAGTAGAGCGTAGCAGGAATAACGGTTTTGTTCCTATTGCTTCAGCTCAGTGGGTAGAGGGAATGGCCAGATGGCAGCAGGATAGAGTCTGGGTGCAGGGTGGGTTCAATTACCTAGCCCCCATCAACATCAAGGGCTGGAAGTTCCTTGCTGACCTGTCCAAAAACGAGATCGAAGAATGTCGTAGGAAGGCCATGGCCGGTATCCTGGACTATGCTAACAGCACCCCGCACCTCGGCGGGAAGCTTTCCTTCCCCACAATGAGTGAACTCGATCCCACCAAGTGTGTTTATGCTAACCCGGTTGTTATGCAGAAGATGTTAACAACCTCACTTAGCTTGGATTTCAAGAACATGCGCAAAATTTGGAACGTAGGATGGCCGTACCTGAAATGTAGGTGTGGATATAGGAATGCTCGTACCTGTAATGGTGGACCAATCTGGTTTGACCATGCTATCTGGTTCCTCCTGACTAAACCAGAGATCGTGAAGCCTGATTGCGGCTCAAATAGAGTTCGGGTTGCCTTCCTCCTCCACCACCTGAGGAGCTCCTGGAGGGAGCTAGCCAAGGCCTCTGTCACTTTCGTCTGGATACGGGAGGTGATGCTGACGATCCTCCGCAACCTTGAGCGTAACCCAGAGTTGACGACTGCTGATGCCCTCGCAGGTAGCGCATTCAGAACCCATCCCTGCCCAAGAATCTTGGCTAATTTGATCCTCCCCACCTGAATCACCCCGGGACTCCCGACTCCGGAACTTCCGAATCCCAAGAAGAGGACCTATGATGATACTGTTCCCAGGTTCCTGTATAAACCGGCGGAAGTTTTTCGAGACTTTGCTTTGGAGAATTGGGAGAAGAGCAAGGGCCTCTGTGCCTGTAGCAGCAGATATGCCAAGTTCATCGAACCAGCTACAGCGGACCTCCTTCAAGAGGGGAAGATTGGAAGCCTCTCTGGCCCTCATGTTGTCACCATGGACTACTCCATCTCTCGCCTCCCGCTGCTCAGGCTCATCCTGGGATTTGGACTGAATCATGTCCTCACCACCGATCTGGACATCGGGGCTGCCATTGGTACAATCCTACGTGCGTTTGACGAAACACTGACGTTGTATAGCAGGGACTATGACTTTGTAAAGGAGGAGATCGGTAGGGTTAGAAGTAAGCTAAGACGGTACTGCCTTGAGAGATTTATAGAATATAAGGGAAGGCATGGTAAGGGTGATGCTATAAACATCGATGAACATTGTCTCAGGCATGAGATCGATTACATCACCAGATTCTTTTTCATTGCATGTATGGATAAGGCATCTAGCACCCCGGTAATCATGTGCAAGGACCTTGTTAGGCAACTAGCATTGGAGAGACTGTCAGGACCAGATTTTGAGCTACTAGAACCAGATGCAAGGGAAATGATCCGAATCATACGTGGGGATGATAATCTGGGCTATCCTTTGGGACCGGAAAAAATCCCGTACCTGATGGCGAACTACAAAAGCCACAAGAAAATGCTAAGATGGATTACGAACGCTAATCAATGCATGTTTTCACCCATTGCGGTAATCTGTGCTGATGCCCTTGATTTGATTAGTAAGGAGATGCAGGAATTCTGTATGGAAAAGTCTCGTACACTGAAAAGCCTCCACGGTCTTAACGTGAATCTTTGGTGGCCAATTGAGTCCATTAACGAGTACTGCTTAAATTTACCCGATGCGGTATTTTTGATTTTTTCGGCCGATATCAGCCGTTGCTTTGAGACAATCCCCACGGATGATTCAAAGCACGGGCTGATCTCTGCGCTTTCCTTTTCGATCAAGAAGGGCTTTGCCCACAGAAGGAGAACCAAAGGGGATGTATGTATCAAAGTGACTATGATGGATAATGGGGGAACATGAGTCAGATGGACAAAATCAACCAATACAGGGCCCAATGAAAAACTGATTGACCCTGACCAACTCATTAAAATGAACCGATGGCTAGCGGATAGGAACTATATCCAATTCGGAGGAAAGGTCTGGAGACAGAGAAATGGCATCCCCATGGGGTTGCCCTGCTCTCCGATCTGGTGCAACTTGTACTTCTTCCGGTATGAGTTCGGTTGTATGATGAGACTCGTCGAAACCAGATACAGGCACTTAGTCAATCTGTTCTCCCACACCTACAGATACATGGACGACCTGAATGCCCTGAACAACACCTGTATCAGGGAATTCCTCCTGAGAGACCGACCCCATAATGATAGTGACCCATTTTGGCTATACCCTTCGGAGTTCATCGAAATCAAGGAACAAAGCGTGGGGGATAGAAGCGGTACATTCCTGAACCTCAGGCTCACTGTGGACATGCCAGACGGAAGATACAGCACTGAGAAATTTGATAAGATAGAAGAATTGGATCTGAAGATCAACAGATACATCAGATACAAATCGAACAGGCCAACTAAGCAATCTTTATCCATCATCCTTGGGCAGACAGCCTCGGTACTCATCATCACATCCAACCCCCAGAAAGCTGCAAAGGATATTGTAAAAATCCTAAACAGAATGTGCCATAATGGTTTTAACAGGAGAAGGTGCTGGGGAATGGTCAGAAGGGTTATCAAAAACCCGGAAGGATTCCAACCCTTCCGATGTTCACCAATGGAGGTACATGAGATCCTGAAAAACTCCTTTGGAATGCCTTACTAACGATGTGTGTTGACCTGTAGTGCGCTGTGTTTGTGTATGTGGGTAGTGTGACCCTGGGCCCTCTGTTAAGAGTGGCTCAGGGGTAGGTACAGGTACCTGTCCCATCCAGGTCCCCTTGCAGGGGTAGTGGGCGGGACACACACACACACACACACACACACACACACACACACACACACACACACACACACACACGCATGGACAGGATGAGCACCGGATCCAGGTAGAAGCCAACAATACCCGCCAAGGCCCTCCTAATTTTCAGGGTGAGGATTCAGGCCTGGGTAGGCCCACCTCGGGTGGGCACAAACGACCAAGGGGTAAGCACACGGATCCGGGGAGGATTCGGGACAAGTAACGTGCCCTTCGGTCTTCTTGTCCTTTTGTAATCTTGTCTTGCCTTTTTGTCTTTTTGTCCTTTTGTCTGTTTTTCTGCCTTTTTAAATTTTTGCCCTTCTGCCTCTTTGTCGTTTCGGGAAGAGTTCTTCGTACGCTTGCCCGCGGTCCCACCCATCCGTCCTTCCCCGTCAGTATCTGGCCCGGTGAGCACGTCATTGGGATGCTTCTGCTCTTGTTGGCTTGTGTCTATGGGATATGCATTAATATACTGTTTTGTGGTAACTTGTTTCTTCTTGCTGGTTCTTTCCGTCCTCTTTCTCTCCCTCCTCCCACCCTCTCCCCCTTTCCCACTGGGAATGACGTGCTCACCGGGTGTTGCATGCTGCGCCTGCACTCGCAGGCCATTTTCCAGGCCCTGCGCCCTTCAGCCAAAAAGCCTAGAATTCAGCCTGAAAACAGGGGCCTACAGTCCCTGTGTCGTTTCAAACTAAAAATGGCAAGAGCCTATTTAGCCTGAAACGAAGGGCTATTTTCGGTCGTTCGCCAGAACGACCGGCCCGGAAACTCAGGCACCAAACCAGGGTTTCGGAAACAGGCTATTCTTAGCCTGTATCCACGACCGCCTCAGCAGATGCTGCAGCGCCAGCCCCTGGCACACTTCGGCATTGGCAAGAGCAGCCTCCTCGGCCTGGCCGGCCCTTAGGCAGTCAGGAGGCAGGCCGTGGATTGGCAAGAGTAGCCTCCTCGGCCTGGCTGGCCCTTCAGGCAGTCAGGAGGCAGGCCCTGGATTGGCAAGAGCAGCCTCCTCGGCCTGGCTGGCCCTTCAGGCAGTCAGGAGTCAGGCCGTGGATTGGCAAGAGCAGCCTCCTCGCCCTGGCTGGCCCTTAGGAGGCAGGCCGTGGAAGTATATAGGTACCTCCCCAGGCACTTCACGATGCATTCAGGAGGCAGTAGTCTTCAGGATTCGGGAGCAGCACTCTGGAGGGAGCGCTGCGTTGTAGTAGTGGTAGCGTTAGCTTGTAGTCTTCAGCGCTGGGCGCAGTAGGTAGCTGTAGTCTCCAGCGCTGGGCGCCATAGCTAGGATAGTGTTAGAGAGAGAGAGAGAGAGAGTTTGGGCGGAGGCCAGGAGTACTTACCTGCAGYGCCRTTGCTCCAGCTTCGTCTTCGAGGTAMCTGCAGCACAGCGCCCACATCACAGGTTAGTATCTGGTTCGTAACAGTGAGAGAGAGAGTCTTCTTCTTCCTCTTCTCAGTCCACCATCTTCTTCTCTCCCTCTCAACATCTGACTTCTCTGCATCTGCAGACTGCGAGAGAAGAGAGACAGAGCTTGGTGACATTGGATCCAGACTCGACTTTTGGGGGCTTCAGACAAGGCAACGAGGGATTATTTGGGATTGGTGACCAAGACTTGGTGTTAACGACATTCCCATCACTCTCCCTCCTTTAGTCTGTTCCCTACCTCTTCGTCTGTGTATGTCTGAACCTGGCGCTTCTTCCTGTGTACAGCGCCAGGCTCCCTCACACTCGGTGATGGGTATGATGCGTGTTTGGTCTGGGTTCAAACATTGATTGGGCTTGTTATCAGTATTCTAGCATTCTGCTTTGCTACTTGTTACTACGTGAGTGAGGTCAGTCCTTGTCAGGTCAGTCCTTGTATCAAAGTCTTCCCTGCGCTATTCAGCACCTTTAGTATGTATGAGAATGCACATTGTCTGTCGAGATTCTACTCGCACTGCATTGTCCATTCTGTCCTTTTTATCACATTGCAGATCCTCGGTTATTACGTACATGGCATATCTGTGCATGCACCCTGATCTGACACGTGTGCGGGGACCAAAAAGCTAGTTAGTCTTTATTGGTTGATTAGGACATACTAGTTAGACCCCAAAATCACGATCTTGACCTCACTACCGAAAATCAAAATTTTTTTCTTTTCTTGGATTTTATTTTCTCGCTATTCTGTTGTGGAAAATCGCAAAATCGCAACATCTGAAATTCCCATTTTCGTTTTTCTTCTGAAAATTTGAAATTTCGCTGTTGAAAATCCGGAATATTTTTCTTTTAAAAAATTTCGATTTCTTGTTGCATTTCCCGTTACTTAGAAATTCGGAATATTTTCTTTTCTGAAATTCGTTTTCTGAAAACGGTACGGGAAATACCTCCTGCAGTATTATTTTCCAAACTGCGAATATTCTCATCGGAATAAATTCAAATATTTGTCATTTCGGTTCGGAATTTTTTTCGCAGTTCTGGGATTCTGTCGTTCAGTTCTACAAATCATTGGCAGTCTAAAGTCGAAATTTTTCTTTCAGTGATCATTTCACACTTCGAGGTTGGGAGACCTACCGAACTTGCAAAAATCGGGATTTTTTTTTTTTTTTTTCTCGAAAGTTTTTGCAAAGTTCAAACTTTTCTTGTTTGATTAGTGGCTCCTTATCGAAGTGATTGGTCGGGCGATTATCCCACCCACCCCTCCCCACCTATGTTGTTGCCATCTCTCGCCTTTCCGTTTCTGTTGGTATCCGGGTACCCCCTGTGGCGGCATTGGTGAGTTGCCACGTCAGCAGGCCACGTCAGCAGACCATGTCAGCAGGCCACGTTAGCAGACTACGTCAGTACGTCAGCAGGCCACGTCAGCAGGCTACATCAGCAGACCACGTCAACAGGACACGTCAGCAGTGCCACGTCAGCAGCAAGGGATACCACATCAACAGGCCCCCGCCCGGTCTATGCTGTTGCGATCTCAAACAACAGTCATGGACCAGAGGCCCGGGGAAGCAGACGCTGTTGCGATCTCAAACAACAGTCATGGACCAGAGGCCCGGGGAAGCAGACGAGGCCTATCAGGCTCGCATGCTGGCCTGGAGTACCGAGACAAAGAAACGGGCAGATGACGCTGCAGCAGCAGCGAAGAAGAAGGCCGAGTATGCCGAGCAGGCACGTCTGCTGGCACTTGAACAACAGCGCCAGCATGACGAGGCAGCAGCAAGGGCTGCCGATGAAGAAAGGAACCAGCGTCGAGAGAAGATATTTACCGGAGAGCGGGCGTTACTGACAATGGCAGCGGAATGGCGAACCGAAGCGGAGGATGGTAAGTTGGAGGATAGCGCAAACAAGATCGCGCTCCTCCTCTCGCACCTCACAGATCTCCTCGCAACCTGCATTACACAGCAGGTGGAGATCCTCGGTCTCGACACCTCGCTAGCTCACGTCCAAGACCGCCTTCAACGGTTGGAGCAGCGACCAGTCGCCGCCGCCGACGCAAGCTCTTCCAACACTGCCGACCGCCTCAATGCATTGGAGATGGACGTCGGCTCACTCAAGGATGGCGTGCAATTACAGCAGACTGCAACGCAACAGTTGCAACGACGGATCTGCACTACCTCCACCACCTCGAGTTCAGAACCGCGCGAGACAACTCCAAAGTTCGACGGGCAGGAGATCTTCTGCGACTCAATGAAGACAGATTCGATTCCATGGTTTCGCAAGTTCGAGCTCACGCTGCAGCTCCACAACGTCAAGGAACTCAAGCACCACGCATACTTGTACTCTCGCTCAGGGGGCGCGTGTCAGGCTTGGTTGGACAACCTGTTGTCCAAGTACGGAGTGGTAGCCAACGACTTGCACACCAAGATCAATTGGAATGATCTGAAGGCAGCGTGGCACAAGCGGTTCCAGGTGGGGCCGCCGGAGATCAAAGCCATGGACAAGCTCATGGTCTTCGAGCAAGGCACGCTGTCGAGTACGGACGGGATCGCCGAGTACCAACGCTTGACGTCAGTCCCAGACATCCAGATGGGCTTCAAGGCCATTCGCCACTACTTTGTCTCAAGGTCATGTCCGACATTAAGCAATGCCCTGACTCATGTCGAGGGCACCTTGACGACGACGGCGGAGTTGTTCGACAAGGCTGCGCAGATCATTATCACGAACAAGGAGGCCAAGAACCTCCGTTCATCTGCGTCAGGCCCGAGCAGGGACCAGCATCGGCCAAGAGTGGCCATGGTCGCAGCGGCAGCGCTGTTGGACCAAACCAGCGAGGCTGTATCTGCGAGTGAAGGGGAGAGATTCGCAGCCGCCCGGGAAGGTGGCCGCCCCGGCAGAGGCCGAGGACGCGGCAAGACGAAGACACACACCGCATCTAGCCCCGGGCCCGGTGCATGAGCTCAGACAAGCCCATGGACCCAGTATGGCATCTCCGAGCAAGCCTTCAAGGCGCGCGAGAGATTCCACTTTTGCCTTTGGTGCAACAACGATCTTCATTAGACGCAGGGTTGCCCATTGAAAGGCAAGGGCAAACAGGGAAACTGAGCACCGCTGAGAGTGACTCGACAACACTCTTGACGCCTTCGGAACCGGTTTCTTTGCGAGTAACCGGCCTTCATTCCGAGGCGCACGCGGAAGTCGATAGTCCTCTTCTACTTTCTTTTGAGGACTATGCTGCCCGGCTCGTTCCTACGCTGGGTACTCAAGCTCAAGGACAAGGAGTGTGTGCGGTTTCTTATCCGTCCGGCGACGGCGACATATCGTCTTCAAGTGGTTCTTCACGGGATTCGGCGCGCGAGTTCAACATAGAGGTATTGGACCCGCTCACGTCCAAGGACTTTGCATGGCTTCCTCTCCCGACCACAGGCTGTTTGTCGGGACCGCAATGCGCAGCACTTAACGCTCATCTCCACACTTACTTATCCTTCTATGCACCACCAACTTCGCCGACGGATGACGAAGTTGCGGTGGGGGACATCCTTGCGTATACTACCAAGGTGGCCCGTGAGTTTCGCTCATGTATGTCCGCATTCAGGTTGGGCAAGCGTCCTGCAACGCTTTGCTGGATAGCTGCGCGTCTCGCAACTTCATGAGCCAATCCTTAATGCAAAGGGCTGGCCTTGGCGCACAAGTTCGAAGGAAGGCAAACCCGACGGCGATCAAGTTGGCGGATGGAAAGACGCAACAACTTCTCGACCGTTACATCGAGGCCGTACCGGTCTACTTCGCACCTCATGCATGCGAACCGGTGACATTCGATATTCTCGACACGGACTTTGACATCATTCTGGGAATGCCTTGGCTTGCAAGTGCGGATCACACGGTCAACTTCCATCGGCGGACTCTTAGCGTTCGCGACGCCTTCGGCGCGGAAGTGGCGTGTACTATTCCTCTACCGCACACTTCGGCCCGGTGCCAAGTGCTGACGGCCAAATCATTCCGGGCGACTTGCGCTTACGAGCAGCCCGAGGAGATCGGCCTATGTTTCTTACGGACGGTCGCGGTAGCGGACTCTTCACCCACGGACTTGTCCTCGGACCCCCGTGTGGTGCGGTTGCTGGACGAGTTCGCCGACATTTTCGAGTCACCTACCGGTGTGGTGCCGGATCCATCGATCTCTCACGAGATCATTCTTGAGGCCGGTGCCGTGCCGCCGAAGGGTTGCATCTATTAGATGAGCGAGGAGGAACTTGAGGTCCTCCGCGCACAACTCGATGATTTGCTGGCCAAGGGCTGGATCCGCCCTAGCAGCTCCCTATATGGAGCACCAGTTCTCTTCGTCAGGAAGAAGAACAAGGATCTACGATTGTGTATCGACTACTGCAAGCTCAACGCGCAAACTGTCAAGAATGCGGGGCCTCTTCCTCGCATCGACGATCTTCTTGAGCGACTGGGCGGTGCGAAGTATTTTTCCAAGTTGGATTTGAAATCGGGATATCATCAAATCTCGATCCAGTCGAACGATCGCTACAAGACCGCATTCAAGACGCGGTCCAGGCATTTTGAGTGGGTGGTCATGCCTTTTGGCCTCACCAACGCCCCGGCGACCTTTCAGGCGGCCATGACCAATGAGTTTCGTGCAATGTTGGACCGGTTTGTGCTGGTCTACTTAGACGATATTCTCGTCTATAGCCGGTCATTGGAGGATCATCTTGGGCATCTTCGACGAGTGTTGGAGACGCTCCGCCGCGCCAAGTACAAGGCCAACCGCGACAAGTGTGAATTTGTCCGGCAAGAGCTGGAATACTTGGGCCATTTTGTCACACCAGAGGGCATTAGTCCGCTATCGGACAAGATTCAGGCCGTCCAGGAGTGGCCGGAGCCTCGGAACGTCACGGATGTTCACTCGTTCCTCGGTCTTACCGGCTACTATCAGCGCTTCATCAAAGGCTACTCCAAGATCCCGGCCCACTTGAACAAGCTTCAGTGCGAGGATCGACCGTTTGACTTCGGAGAGGAGGCGCGAGGATCATTCTTTGCTCTCAAAGTCGCGCTATTGTCTGCGGAGGTCTTGCGGATATACGACCCGCTCACGCCTACGCGCGTCACTATGGATGCGTCAGGCTATGGCATTGGTGCAGTCCTCGAGCAACATGATGGCGTGGACTGGCACCCGGTCGAGTATTTCAGCACGAAAGTGCCCATCGTGCATTCCATTGACGATGCACGCAAGAAGGAGCTCCTCGCCTTCGTCCACACGCTCAAGCGCTGGTGGCACTTCCTCCTTGGTCGAAGCCAATTTCGATGGGTAACGGACAACAATCCGTTGGTCTTCTATAAGACCCAAGACACCGTCAACAACACCATCGCACGATGGACGACTTTCATCGACCAGTTCGACTTCTTTCTCAATCACATTTCCGGGAAGTCGAACCGTTTTGCGGATGCTCTTTCACGGCGTCCGGATCATTGTACCGCAGTCTACTCAACCTTTGAGATCGACGATGACCTGCGGAACAGATTCGTCCGCGGCTACCAAGCCGACCCCGAGTTTCGCGACAAGTACGCAAATTGCTCCTCTCCTAATCCGGCCCCTTCTCACTACCGGATCCAAGAGGGGTACTTGCTTGTCCACACGCGGGGGAAGGACCTCCTTTGCGTACCGAGTGATCCTCACTTGCGTACACGGCTTCTTGGTGAGCTCCACGACGCTCCCGCCACTAGACATTTTGGTGAGTAAAGGCCCTTAGGGCCACTGCACGTATTCCTAAGAAAAGAAAAAAATAGAGAAAAGAAAAGAAAAGCGAGAAAACAGAGAAATAGTGACCCATAACCAGCATGCACAGACCTGAATTCGAATCCAGACTATATTTTCTCTGCCCACCCTTAATGAGGACAAGTTTGAAGTGTATCTCTGCATGACGTCCGGTCGTGGCTAATATGCTGTTGGGATCCTTCCGAAAGAGGCTGGACACATCGAGGACACTTTTGTTTTCTACTTTTTTAATGTGGCGCATCACTTGTGCGTGCCTGCATGCGCGTGCAGCACCCCGCCCATGAGATGTGCTGCAAGTATGATTCGAACACATCTCTCTCTCTCTCTCTCTCTCACACACACACACACACACACACACACACACACACACACACACACACACACACATATACACACATGCGAGTTTCTGCTTTCATACCTACGACGACAGTCAGCTCTGTACTCATGTACGGCACCCTGACATGTCGTGTCCAATTTGTAGACGGGCTAGAACGGCAGTGCCTCTATAATTGTGGTCGACGTGCCTCCGTGTTCCTAGCATGTAGGAGCCACGTTGCCTGTGACATCTGTCTGCGCCGTGCCATTCGATGCAGCAACTGTGACTGTGAAAACTGGATGCGGTGCTTCCACAGTCCACACCCGAACCGGTCCTGTCCGGTCTGTAGGGATGGTCACTTACCATAGGCAATAACTGCTCCTTGACTCAAAATCTTGTCCAACCCAAACACCAATGAACCTCATGTGCTATTCCAGCGGTGAGTGTTTAGAATTCTGCGAAGCCCATCATATACCTCTCGCCTGCCC